TAATAACTTCTTTAAAATAATAACTCTTCAAGTTTTCAACATTATTATTTTATAAAAGTTTTGCCCTACTTAATCAATCTGTAAAGAAAGTTAAAATGGGAGAGAAATCTCAAATTTACGTATCACATATAGCATTAAAAAAAAAAAAAAAATCAGGAAGCAATGAGTTTGGTCTACGAAAGAGATCACACAGCCGCAAATGCAAAGAGTACATTTACCTTTCAGGACAGTTGCTATTGAGCTCAAAGAGAGGGCTGCAATTACAACTGATGAAGCACTTTCTTGTTTAATCGACTATAAAGAATGATGAAGAAGTGCCCCTACCACTTGCATATGGTGTAGATGGAGTTAATTTACAAAACTCAGAACATTAGGGTCCCAAATTTCGGAACCGAACGATGAAAGATAGTGAAAAAGGGAAATGATAGGGTTTGTAGAAGAAGTTGATTTTGAAAAAAAAAATAAAAAAAATCAAAAGAGCCTTATGGTTTCAATATCGAAAGCGGAAGGAGGAGAGCGAAGAGATGAAGAAGAAAATGAAAAAAATGAGTTGGAATTTGATTTTACATGGAAGGTTAAAATAGTCTTTATGCATTTTTAAATGTTTTAACTTTATTTTATTTTACTTCGATAAATGAATGTTCGATAACATTATAACCTTTCTTAAATAATAAAAACTATTCGGTTTTGATTTCGACCAGTGCATTAAATTAATAACCCCGTTAAACGTATAAGATAATAATTTTTTTTAGATTCTTTAAGACATAACGAATTTATAAATAATAATTGTTTAATTTCATAAAAGTTAATACTAATACAAATTAACAAAAATTTAATTTGTCAATATTTTTTTTTCAATTCGCTTCTTTTAAAAATAAAAAATGCATCAGAGTTTTTTGCTTTTTCTTTACATTAAAATTAAACTCCAATATATTGAATTTAGAAGCCAATGTAGAGGTGTCAAGGCGGACGGATCGGCTGGCCGACCCGTGAAAATCGACCCTGATTGACCCGAGATCGCGGACAGACTCGTGACTCGAGTGGGTGGTTCAGGGTCAAGGAGGTGTGATCCGTGGGTTTCGCGGGTTGCACCTTCACGGGCCGCGGTTAACCCGCTGACCCGTGAAAAAAAAAAATTAAAAAATTTTGAAAAAAAGTATGTGTCGGGCTAATTGGGTGTACTTATACTATAAATATTTGATAATGGCAATTAGAAATACATTTAATTGTTAT